ATTGTGAGTGATAAATACAAATAGGTTCCCTCAGTGAGATTGCAAAAAATGTCAAGTAGAAGAGTGAAGCATAAATAATTTCCAAGACCAAAATTATAGACAAACGAGTTCAAGGTTTAAGTAAGACAAACAATCCCAACTCTGTAAGTATAGTGAGGTTAATGATAAGAGTTTGAAGTTAAATGCTACGATCCTCCCTTAACACTGAGTAAAGTATGTAACTTTAGATTCTCAAGCTTCATTTATGTCGACCAGATGAGAGTGATTGATATTGCTTCATTCATCCAGTTTATGCAAACAGTATGAAGTTATAGAGGGTATACAAAGCCAGTCGATAATTTCTACCTGAAACTCACTTATACATAGATCCTGTCCGTTTAACTGAACCTATGTAAATGAGGTGGTAAGCTTCTAGCTCAAAACTTTCAGGTTGGATAGCTCTTGTAACTCCAAATCCTTTCTTCATCATAATCTCTCTGTGAGGTGCTTACAGCTTGGTAATGCTGTGTTTAATACTGTCGTTTATTTATCCACCTGGAACACTATGAATTCTAAATATTATCGGACGACTGGCTGTGGTGGTAGCCACCATTTGCAGTAAAGAGGTTTCCCTTATTTTCTGTAGCATCACTTAAACCAGCTTTTAGTTTAATCAGTCAAAAAATTTAAAGACTACATCATGAGCCCTTACACCTCAACACCAAACACTAATTCCTCGAGTTTCAAGCTCCTTCTTTTTCTTGAGCGACCATATTCCTTCCGAAAAATTACTTTTCATGAGCTTTCTTGTCACTATGCTTTCAGAGTATGGTAGGTCCAATAGTACCTGCACATTACGCTCGAAATTCAACACTGGCTAGGAGTCTTGCTTGATTTAGATGTTTGCATCTTGGTTACATGCAAGTTGAGTAGTGATTTTAGTGTTCGGTTTGAGCTTACGAGCTATGTTTCCCCACCTACGGAATTTGGAAACGTAAAAAGCATGGGGTAAACAAGCTGTTGGCTGATAAGGTTATCTAGAATGCACTACAAAAAGTAGCACAGCATGATTAGACCATTGTATTACAAAATTATACTGAAATTCCTCAATTATTTTTACTTCGTTCGTTTATTCACAGATACTCTTAGCACTGACTCTTTATTACAAAGTATTTATAATCTTTGCTAAAGTAATGTGTTTTAGATTAATCTGCGTCGTATATATCTCCTCAGTATGGAAGGATCTATGATCATACCTTTTTACCGTGTTATGATATATCCTTTGAGATAAAATACGATGCTTCCTCTGATATACCGTGAATGAATGATATTATGGTTTTCACGTCTAAGAAATTAGAAAGACTTTTCACAAGAGTTCATGCCTGTATTGCGCGTTAAGATTTGATATGTTGTGGAATTTCCCGTCAGAATGGATACTGACTTTACCTTATATTGAGTCTATGCTTCCGAAAGGCTGAATGGTTTAAACCTAAGCCACCTAGCATTTTCAGAAAACTTTAATTCGAACTTCATGGTTCGGTTAGATCAAGTGCCTACAATCAGGCAGGACTTAAAGCTAGTCCCACCTGAGTGGATGGAGAATATCCTACTAACTGCTCTGTTAGTACTGAGATCAATAAAAATCTCGTGCCCCGTAAAGTCACCGATGTGTGACAACATATGACTTATAACCAGAAACAATGCGTCAAAGCTATAACTTCTCCTGTATGAGAGTTGTAAACGGCCTTGCTGGAGTCACACCAACCTCAGACAAAAAAGGAACAGTTTACTTTCACTTTAACACTCAGAGAAGGAAGTAAAGAAAATCCAACCTGCTAAAAACCACTCATATTACTGCCACTACTGTCAGTGGTGGGAGGATTGGTGAGTGAGTAAGTGAGGAATTACTTTGGTGAGAATAACATCTTTCATGAAGCCTTACGCGGAAACGGGAAAAGCAAGTCCTGTGTGTCAAGTCCTCTCGAAGCACAGAGAAACAGTAAAACGTGCTAGGATGAAAAAACTCCTGGGTCTGATGATAATGCTGCAAAAGGCATATCACTTTGCAGATACGATCAGATCGTTACAAATTGTACCACATATGCTGTAAATGGTTGCGTAGTTAGATTAAAAATAAGAGACTGTGCCTGACAGCAAATATAAACCATATCACCAACACGAGCAGTTTGATACAGACACATTTTCAATGAGTACAAACTGGGTAGGTACACAGTAAAGTTCTTTGGACATTTGTATAGCTCAGGAGTGAATTTGTTGAAAAGTGTCGACTGTAAGGCGCTCGATATTAGCTGTAACCTAGACCTGCACGCGCGTAAGGCGCATTTTACGTAGAGGTGTCATATGTTTTCCACTGCGTATAGGGTTCTGAGAAGGGATAAAAGAAAGAGAAAAGGAAATAAAGAGCAACGGAAAAATAGTATGCTACAAGAGACATGCCAGTTTGCAAGCTCGATCAAGTTGTCGCAAAAGCTACCACATTTACTGCAACAGTCATCGCAGTTAGTTTAAATATTATGGTCTGTCTCTTATAGCACATTTACACCAAATCACTGACAGTAACAGATTGATGTAACCACATTTTCAATAGGTGAGTGCAAATAGTGAAAGTGCTTAGTAGGGTTCTTGGGTTGTTTGCATAGATCAGGAGTGAATTTGCTGGTAAGTGTCAGTCGGAAAGCACTCGAAACAAGCTGTGACCTAGACGTTCGTGTATATAAGGTGCATTACGCCTGGAGGCGCTGTGGATGTTATACTGTGCACAGGATTCTGAGAAATGACAAAATAGAGAAAAAAGCAGTAATAAGACGATTGTACATATATAGCCAAAGCACTGCTTAACCTCTCATGGTGAATTAGATGATGCGGTGGTAGGTCAAGATAAAATTAATACTAACCACTAAAAGTGAAATAAATCGTAGTAATACAGCCGACAAATGAATGAGTACAGCAATTACGAAGGGTTGTCCAGTGTGTCAGGTGGTTAGAAGTGAGGTTAAAGTGAGAAGCTCAATGTCTGGGCATTAAAAGTGAAATTTCAATAAGAAGAGTAAAGTTTGCAAAAAACAGTGTTCATCATTTTTTTTCACTGTCTGATATTTTTATCTAATGCCAACCTCTAAGTCATTCTGTAAGAGCCTGAGCAAGCATGTTGAGGGTTGTCTTGGCAGAATAAAGATCACAGCCTATTTTTTGAAACAAGAGTCTCAGAAGTAGCAAGTTTAAAAAAGCGATCTCACTATCAATGGTTTGTGGTCTTATCAGTCGAAATAAACCAAAATCAAACAAAATGTTCATTGACATCCTAACAGCTTTCAATCCAATACTCCACATACGCCTTATCTCAAAGGTTGCTAAGATGGGATTCACTGACCTACTTATATCTTAGTTCAGAAAACAGGATTCAGAGAACAGGATTTTTCGTACCGAAGGAAGCAGCGCACACAGACCGGCAAGCCTAAACATCAGGAGTTTCACAGAAGACCATCTTAAGTCAACTCTTTCTGATATGTACTGCTGACCTGTGAGATGAAATTAGACCACTAGCATTAAACCATGCAGACAACTAAAAGATCTGGAAGTCCACAGAAAACGAAAAGCTTTAATAGGACCTCGCAACAATGGAGGGATGGGTAGTAGGGATCGGGCTAAACATCTGCGAATCAGAATGTCAAGTTGTGAACGAACAAATCAGAGAGTACATGGATAAGGACAAAATCCTCCATGTAACTAGACATGGTTGTCGTCGATGCAGGTCAAGTGCATCCGATGTTTTTATAGCATTGGGCATCTGGAAGACTTTCTGAGACCCGAAAATAACGGTTCTTATAATATTCATTTGACGTCTCAAGAGTTTTTGACACAGTACCTTACGCACTTCCAATTACGAAGATTGCAAAGATGAGCTTCAGCGATCCACTTCTATTTTGGCTCATGAACTACATTGATAGCAGAAAGTTTCGTTCTAAGGCAGAGAGACTACAAGTGAGCTGGTGAGTTTCAACATCGGGAATTCCAGTGGGTACCATCTTAGTTCCACTGCTCTCACTGACATTAATCAATGGCTGGTTAGGTGAAATTAGCTCAGTGGCACTAATCCGCGCAGACGGTGAAAAGATCTGGAGGTCCATGAGATCTGAAGCCGATTCAAATGAGCTTCCAAAGACCTTGCACCTATTGAGGAATGGGTAATATAAAATGGTTTAGAACCAGACCAGTCGAAAAATCACGACATGAACATTCCCTCACATTTGACGCGAACTATTTACTTCATCAATGAGATTCCACTACTTAATGTCTCCCCAGAGAGCGATCTCTGTTTACTAACCACAGAAAGCTTAGACACCAGTTTGAACTACTTAACAGACTCAGTCAAGCTGAAGCAATTCATTACTTTATGTGTAGGCAACTTGATTCAATCACCCCAAAGTTGTTCTTAACACTGTTTTAAAACATTCGCACTCCCACGTCTTGAGGTTCACAATGTGGTCACATCTCATCTCCTCAAGGGATATAAATCTCCTAGATCGAGTAAAGAGATTAACAACTAAATGGGTTACAGCACTGAATGATAAACCTTACGAAGATAGACTCTAACAATTGGGATTACTTCAGTAGAGTTAAGGGAGAACCAGAGGTGATCTGAAAATGGAATTATTCCCTCTGAGTTATAAGAGAATCACAGGTGGTCTGAAAATGGCGTACAGCATGAGTATGTTGCTGAAGCATCAACACCACGCCTCTCGTAGTAACCCTAGAAAAATTGCGCATTAAAGTGTGGATACCCAGGTTCGTGAACACTTTTTCTCATAAAGAGTTGTCACAACCTGGAATGCTTTCCCAGCCGAGATGACCATAGCCCCTCAGTAAACAGCGTCATGGAGATTTTTCATAAACACATATTCGAATACCGATTATCATATACCTTTTAGACCAGCTATACCTGATGCACATCTTGAAACTTGCTATTCGTTATCATGGTCATTTCCTCAGATTGCCAACTTATTCAATCTCGCTTATTATCACTATTTCCACCTCTTTGTCTACACTCCTTCACTTTCATAAAATCAGGTGACAGTTAATGAAATTGTTTTATACTAGCTTGCTGAAAGATATTGGATATCGGACGGTTTTGTTGTTTGGATGAATGCATAGTCGCCATCTGTGTCCTTCTCGTTTGACTGCAGGCCTAATACATTAGTCTTATGGCTGACGAAGCTGAGCTTTTGGATTACGAAGATGAGGAGCAGGAAACAGTTCAAGAGGCAAGACCTAATGGCGAGGCTGTAGCCAAAAAGGGTGTCAAAGGGGCGTATGTTACCATACACAGTTCTGGATTTCGTGACTTTATTCTCAAACCGGAATTATTAAGAGCCATCGTTGATTGTGGCTTTGAGCATCCATCAGAAGTTCAACATGAATGTATTCCCCAAGCTATTTTAAGTATGGACGTTTTGTGTCAAGCAAAGTCTGGAATGGGAAAGACTGCAGTATTCGTCATAGCCACACTTCAACAGCTTGATCCCGAAGGAGAAGCTTATACAAGTGTACTCGTCCTCTGTCATACGAGAGAACTTGCCTTCCAAATCAGTAAAGAATATGAACGATTCTCAAAATACATGCCGAAGATAAAGGTAAGGAGTGAATTCTACGTTTAATCTTTAAGGTTGGTGTGTTTTTTGGTGGGATGCCAATACGCAAGGATATTGAAACGTTAACAAAATCTCCCGTTCATATCGTTGTGGGCACTCCTGGTCGTATTCTGGATTTAGTAAGGAGTAAAACATTGAAACTACAACATGTTAAACACTTCATCATTGATGAATGTGACAAAATGCTAGATACGCTCGGTAGGAGTATTTCATTCGTCTTACTTTCCACTAGATATGCGGCGTGATGTTCAGGAAATTTTCCGCATGACTCCACATCAAAAACAGGTCATGATGTTCAGCGCAACAATGAGCAAAGAAATTCGCCCAGTGTGCAGAAACTTTATGCAAGATGTACGTTGTTGCAATGTCTGGCGGAGTTGTATTATTTCCATTCCCACCTGAGCTGGTTTTTGCGTTCGCCAAGATGACTTGGATCACCACTGCCAAGTACAACTTTGATGTGATTAGTCCTTACTAACTGAGCGTATCAGCTAGCACTTGCTCTGGAACGTTCGAGGACTCACCGTTCGGTCATGGATTATGGTAAATGATCGCTTGGATGTGGTTCGCATTGGCTTGCAAAACGCATTCGTGTGGCCCAGGTGGAGAATCAAAAAGCAGGCAGTTTGACTATTTCTTAATGATTAATGTTTTGTCCATGTATAACGCCCGTGGTTTCTCTAGCGCCTACTCGGCACTAACTACGTTTTTGTTTTTAGCCGTTGGAAATATTCATCGAAAACGATTCAAAATTAACATTGCACGGTTTGCGGCAGCACTATGTAAAAGTCAAGGAAAATGAGAAGAACAGAAAGCTCTTTGAGCTCCTTGATGAATTGCAATTCAACCAGGTAAGCTTTACAAATGATGTTTGCCATGCTAATACTGATGTAGGCTAATGCCTGATCACATGCGTTTAAGTGCTTTTTTTTCTGAAATGCGTCTTATAGCTGTTCATATTGTTTTAGGTAATAATCTTCGTCAAATCCGTTCAACGATGTATGGCTTTGTCTCAGTTACTGGTTGACCAAAACTTCCCTTCAATCGCAATGCACCGAAATATGGCTCAAGAAGAACGTTTAGAGCGCTACCAAGCATTTAAGAACTTTCAGAAACGGTTACTAGTGGCCACCAATCTCTTCGGTCGAGGTATGGACATTGAACGTGTGAATATCGTCTTCAACTATGATATGCCAGAAGATTCTGACACTTATCTGCACAGAGTACGTTAGAAATTCAAAAGTAAAGTAATTCTGATTTAGGTTGCCAGAGCTGGTCGCTTTGGGACTAAAGGATTAGCCATAACTTTCATATCAGATGAAGTCGATGCAAAAGTCCTGAATGAAGTACAAAACCGTTTCGAGGTCAATATTAGCGAGCTTCCTGACGTTATGGAAATATCCAGTTATATGGAGGACCGATAATTTGTATTTACCTGTATATTGTTTCTACTCCTGTCTATATTTCAAATGCAAGTATTCACCAGCCCATACTTTTTCTCTGTATTAGAATATGAAGTTCCAGATAAGGTCAGGGCTGCATCGAAAACGTAACCGCTCACTCGAACTAGTCTGAGTAACTTATCTGGCAGTAGCTTGTTGTCACTCAAATCATAAGTAGTGTGAAGCACATGACTGTTTAGCTCCACTTGTTTACTGTGTATATTAGGAGTTATTACTGAAACAAATTGGCAGTAAGGTCTAATCCAGTCGTTTCGCGAACGTTGACACCCGACATCCTTTATGCTAATCATTAACTAAGCATCCGGGGGCCTAACGTATGGTCAGGTCGTCCCTCGGGGAGTTTGGGGGTGTCGTGGAACTGTATGCTTGCGTAGATCTGGTCGGTGATGTTAGTCCTTCATGACTTGATATACTTAAAACTTCAGACTGCGCAGGTTGTCTCGGAGATAATCTGCCGTCAACAATACGTTTGTGATGTAGTGGGAGACCTGAATCCCTATCCACGTTGGGTCATATGTCGACTTAGTCTGTTTGGTTCTGTTTCGTTGGGTCAAGTGGATTATCCTTCGCTGAGGGCAAGCTGCAGTCTCCCTGTAGATCATTCAGGATGGGGATTTCTACTTAGGTGTCCGTGTCTCATCATGCAGCACTTAACTGTCAATAAATGGATGAGCTTTTATTTGTTATGGCTTCAAGAAGTGATTCGGACTAGCTGCCAAACCCTTGTCATAACATAACTTAGTAGTACCTGCCTATCCTCGTGTTTTGACACGTCTATGGTTTTCATTCTGCATCATTGATTATCTGGGTGTCTGTGTCACCTCAGTCTTAGTTGTGTTTCTGAAAGACTTACACGCTAAGCATCCGTCCTGTCTAACAGACTGGGTTTTTTTCTGCACCAGGTATTTTGCTCGTTGCATTTCTATGACATGTTTTACCCAGATTCCAAACCAGTGATGCACATTGGCTCCAGGGTTCTGACGTAACGAGTGGCGTATGGACCTACTGTTGAAAGCTGACTACCATAGAACTGGGTATCCTGGCGTTACTCCACTGCATTGTGGATTAACTGTACATGCCGACGGTCGTGGGTGTGGTTCCTTTAGGGAACCATCTGTCTCAGTTTGAGCGCCCGGGTATTGTCTCAGCCTTCTCAAAAATTGGAAGATTTGTATGGCCCATACGCATTTAGTTATCCCTTTGTCCCAGTGTCTGTGTTTAGACAAGATAGGAAGAACCATGAAATAAGACAATGGGGGTAAGTGTCTTATGACTGAAATATTGTTTCGTACAACGAGTCTATGGATGTATGGAACACTATGAGATTTGAACTGATATTTGCGTCTCTGTGATAATGTGGTATGGCAGTTTGAACTTATGTACTCGCGTACGAAGTTCTACGTTGTAACTGACTGATGTATGGTACACAATTTTAGGAAGCGATTATTTAGTTAGTCGGTATATTACATCTTTACACTAATGGACTCATTGTCTTTCCGTTGGATAACACTCGTATTTTGGTAGGTGCTACCCGTCGTTTGATTTAAAGCATAAACTAATTAGCATACTGCTGCGTAAACTTAGTTTCTTGGTCGTCAATCCGGTCTTATGAATGCCAAATAGTAGCACTTATCTCTTGTGTTTTTTCTACGTGAAACAAACAAAAGTGGTGTACAGTGCATCGTGTTTGTCGATCACTAAGGTGAAATTTCAGAATTTAGTCATCATTAATTTACCCTCGCAGTTCTTCACGTAAGTCTGGGTATTAGGCTATCTCAAAGCAACTAATTTAGTTATTAATGTAGGTGTCTGTGGAGATTTTAAAGTTTGCATTACGGATTGATCCGAGTTAGAAAACCACTAGAAACCAAAACACCTGGAAGCTGTCTCGTTCCGAAGGTCCTAGGTCTGATCCGTTTTGGTGTCGCAGATGCTTGGTATTGTTAAGTTTGATAATAGAACGAAACAATTGTCAGGTGATTCCTGGTCTTCAGTGCTTATCTAACTAACCAGTTCATGATATCAGCTGCCAGCTAGCTAGCCATTTAGGCTTGAGACTGAAATATATATAGTTGGAAATCTGTCATTGAAATATTGTCCATAATATTCCAGTTTGGATCCTTATAGCATGAAAGACTACTGTAGAAATCATTTTTTACTTTCATATTCGCCCGAATTGATTTACCGATTATACTATGTAATTACGGCTTTATCTGATAATTAGGATTTTTCATTTACATGGTCTTATAAATGAAACAATCAATCTGTTTACTTCGAAACCATCTTTCTAATCTTCGTTGAATAGAAGTGCTTTCTTTCTACTATGAATGCATATATAAATTTCAGGTTAGTAAACACGACAGACATACACATACGCTTTAGATCCTAAGCAAATAATTAATCGATTCATTTATCTGTATACTGTATGGCTTAAAAGGATTCGATTGATTTGTCTGTGTAACAGAATAAATCACAAATACATACTGTGGTGCGCGCTACTTATAAGTA